AGCTAGCTCACAGATTTTTAGCCTCCAGCTCACTCATGTTTGTCTTGGCTCAGGGAGGACGGCTCCAGAGCAAACTAACTGATGCAGCGGCCAAATCGCTCGCTCACAGCTTTAATGCCACTAGCTCAGAAGGAGAATTTTTGCTTACAAGACACTGGCGGTCTCCCATTCAAGTTCTAACCGGAACTGGCCCTGCTTAGCTTCCCAAGATCTGACAAGACCAGGCCAGCCTGGGCCATCCAGGTCAGAGTGAAATAATTACTGGGCTTGAGTAATTGCTCTCCTTTAACTATCTGTGGTCCCGATCAGACACTCTTTACATCTGCCCCAGGCACGGATGCCTGGCGGATTTAAAGGGAACGATCAGACAGCAACATTTGGGGAAGGGGCTGCTTCTGTGGTCAGCCCGTTTAGCCCTGCCAGGGAGCCGTACTTAAAAGATACCGGTGACAATCCGGTACTTTTGATTGCCAACGGGCCAATGGCGGACTTTTCTCTATCTGATCGTTCCAGCATGCAACCATCCCGAACAGCCGCCATTAAAACAAATTCTTAGCGATATGCGCATAAACGTGTAAACGTGCGACAGCTGCAGAGCTCCACTCAACCATTCCGGACAATTTCATGTTTCTGAATGGCCCGTGAAATTTATAAACGGCATTAATTGAAATGGTACCTAGAGGGAGGTACTACTGTTGATGCTTTAACCATTCAATCCTGCACATGCGCGGAAAAACAAGTACACATTGAGGCGCAGTTGTGCATGCGCAAACAGATTTTTTTTTTTAAAAAAAAATAAGTCCTCGACCACACAGCTCCTTCAGGTGGACGCAGTGTAGACAATCCACCGCAGAGTACGCACGTGGTAAGGGGAGTTGTCTGGTTGTGCAAGGCCAGATAAAAAAGATCTAGATCATATTAGAGCCGGGCCAATGGCAAGATTCGCTGCCCGTCTGAACGCACCCTGTGTAAAATCAACAGATGGTGTTATTTTCTTTTAAACCAGCCGATGTGAAAAATGTAAACGATGATGTTTTCATATAAAAATAAAAATGGAGGCAGGATTCCTTAGCTATAGAGGCAAATTTCTAGGAAATGCAGGCAGGATACCCTAGTGTACGAGAGGCACAAAACGAACAAAAGATGTTGTCGAAGTGTTTCTCTTGCCAGGAGATTAATAATTTGATAGTGCAAAGCGAACTAGACGCCGAAGGCTTCTGAAGTGCCCGCCTATGTCTGAACTGGGCCGGGCTACTGTTATCCAGAAGAATAATCTTTTGGCGGCTATAATATCACTGATAGGCGGCTGTTCCCCCCTGCTGTTCTATTCAAGCCCTTTGCCGTGTCTGCCTTTCTACCTCTTGCTAGGAAGAGGCAACGCCCAATTTTTTAAAACAAAGAAGGACCCTGCAAAAGTTGAGAAATTGCACCGAGACTGGCCCCCGCACATGCTGACAAAGGGTGTGTGTGTGTGACCCTGGCCATCTCTGGCCCATGCTGGCCACTGTAGGCCCTCGCTACACCGCGCAGAAGAGGGAAATCTGCAGGGCAGGGAGCCTTCTTCGCCCCCTTCCACCCACGCAGGCAACCCACTTTAGCCAAGTAGGATTAGAGACAGGCCCATGGGACAAAAGGGGGATTAGGGACAACGCCAGGAGACTCTGTCCCGATGGACAAAAAAACCCAACTGTTCCTCGAAAATCAAAGCCCCCAAAGAGAGCGGAGGAGACGGAGATCACGCTTGGGGGGGGGGAGGAAGTTTGGTTTCGATTCCCTCTTCGGAGGAGACTTCGCCGCACAGAGATGCAAAAGGCTGCCCGCCATGCCGTCCTTCCAAAGGAGAGGCGCAAAACCAGCAAAGGGTCCCCCAGTGCATGCAGGCTTCCAGGCTATGTGGTGTAGTGGCTAAGTGCGCGGACTCTAATCCGGGAGAACCGGGTTTGATTCCCCACTCTTCCACTTGCAGCTGCTGGATGACCTTGGGCAAGCCACAGTTCTGTCAGAGCTGTTCCCTCAGGACAGTCCTCGAGAGAGCTCTCTCAGCCACGCCTACCTCACAGGGTGTCTGTTGTGGGGAGGGGAAGAAAAAGGAGTTTGTGAGCCACTCTGAGACCCCTTTGGGTATAAATCCAATCTCCTCCTCCTCCTCCTCCTCCTCCTCCTCCTCCTCCACTG